GGAGTCCTTTTGTACGATTCATGATCTACAGTGAATATACTCATTTTGCTACACTTTATTGTCGAATTTGTCTGAGAAATGAAATCGGTACTACCTTAGCAATCTAATCAATACACTCTGTTACTCTTTCAGTTGCTACCTTAAATAATTGCGCATAATACACTAACTGGCCGCTTTAACGCATATGCATAAAAGCACGTTATATGTCTTCCAGCGAGACACTGTCGTTACAAGATGTGAAGTCAGCGATTAATATGCGGTGGCTTATTTAGATTTCGATTGATGTGATTAGATCTCATTTGTAGTTTAGGTGGTAAGTGAAAGTATCTGTTTAAGTGCTATTGTCCTTCACGTAAGTGCGTAGTTTTCAACAACGTTTAAAACAAATAGCTAATGGAATGGAATATACGTTTTCATGTGTAGGGCTATTCGAAGCTCTCAATGGCCTAAGTGAAATCATTGGAATCCCAGCCTATCCCTTCTAAAGCCAAGGAATATCTTACGAAAATAATTTCGAATGCATCGGACGGCCATTCAGTTGAAATTTAAATCAGGAATCGCTATTTTCAGACAGTTTTCGTCTCCAGCTTTGTGTTGTGTATCTGATTAATTGTTGGTTCATCAAGAACATAAATCTCAGGAAGCAAAGATTTACTCTCTTTATTAAGAAATACTATAGTGTTTCTTTGTAATACAGTTGTGCCTGATCTGTTTGGCTTAACAGGGAGAGAGTGTAATGTAATAACGCTTGTGAGCGTGTCAGACTGGGTTTCATGGCTATGGGAACGCTTCTAATCTAAACATGAATTACCTTGTTTATATACGGTCAAATCAATACGTAAAATGTGGCTAATATCCTAAGTGTTTCCAATATCACCTCCGATGTTTATATTTCTTGACTTCTATGTATATTTATAGTATCCCTACTACTGTATTTCATGAAACACGTGAGATTTCCCAACGACTAACTTCGATAATTGCTGGATTCAATCCGAACAAATGCATACTGCATTTGCAGAACACCTTATGGTAACCAAAGGATTTGTCTAAAATCATGTGCGTAAGAAGTTCGTCATAACTGATTCTTCATTCAGTGTCAAGTCGCATTTTTGATGATGTAAACTAAATGTCCCAATTCGATACCATTCCGTCAAAAAAACACCGCATGTAGGAGATTAAATTCATGAGAAATAAATGTAATAGAGTGGAAATAAATCTCTTCGCAGGAATCATATTGACTACAGCGAGTTTATAATGTCAACATTTTATGACTAATCCAGCTCGGGTCAGTTATTTGCGAGACTCTTTCACCGTCTTCGTCACCTTCTTCGTAGTCGTCACATCTGATGCACCACCTCCTACGCTTGGTGCTCGCTCATTCGGACACGCCCAATGAACCACCTTCTTGACCAGCTTCTTCAATGTCGGAGGGAGAATGTTGAACATCTTATCGAGAACTGAATCAGATTAAGTGTGTTTTTGTGTGTGAAATGGTGGTATATGGTGTGATGCATTGGACTGTTTGTTTTGTATTGGTTTGCAGTATTGATTCCATTCACAAAGAGCAGAGGTAGAGAAATGAAGAAGAAATATCAACGTCATCAAGTGAATACATTGAGTTAGACATGAATTTAACTGCCAATAAATCTCGTTAGCTTACTTAGGCCTTGTGCATGACTGACGAGGACGGTTAAGCAGATGAGGAGGAAGATGCACTGTTAGGGTATTAAGAGAGGTAAAGGAGCGGTTGGTCACCTTTCTGTGCGACATTTGTATTCCCCTCCATAGACACATTCGAACTGATGCACGCCGTTTGGGGTGTCAAGTATTGGCGACTAGTCCTTCCCAGAGTGTTGAATCACCCGATGAGCAGTGTTAAGGAGGACTGGTTTCCCAGCACAATGGGTTCTCTTGACAGTTTTATCTAATCCTTGTTTGACTACTTTTACTACATCATCAACTTTGAACGGTTAACTAGTATATACGGACTCCTTTGAGACTGTTTGGATAGTTTCACTGTGGTTCATTTCTTTAGAGTACTTATTGTTGAACTTCTCAGGATGTCCGTTCTTACATAAAATACTCTTCGGAGTCTTTATTTCACGTTCAGTTGTATTGTCAGAACACATTAGCGTGCTGCATTGAAGTGTGTTCTTACTTATTTCTGGGTGTCGAGGGTTCGGATAATGGAACGGACATGCGTTCCTTGATATTTGAGAATATGACTTGCAGACGAGTGCGACCTCGAACGAAACCTAGGTCCAAGGCTTCCTGCCGATCGCCATCTAGTATCATCAAATCAATGTGCACCACGATGGCGACCTACATGGAATGCTGTCCATAGTGCAAAAGTGACTGATAGAAATCAGTCTGCACGAGAGAAAGGACCAGACACATCACACAAGTCACTAGTGTCCAATCAATGAACTGATCTGTGCTGAGTGGTAACCCATAACAACCTTCAATATATCTAATACTCCATCTCACATGCGTGTAGACACAAGCGAAATCTTAGTGCAATAGTTACTTTCGAAATCCTACAATCCTGAACAGTATTCATTTTTTCCTCTCCCAAACATTTAATCAAGTCAAACTGTCAACAGAAGCAAACAGCTCAAATACGCGCAAGACAACACCAACAATAAGGAATCTAAATCATCAATAGTAATTCCATACAAGGCAGGAATAAAAGTAGCTGGCAATCAAACCAACCAAAAAGTCAGTAAGAAACAAGCTCTGTCGGTTAAAGGATCAACCCTATGGAGCCTTTAAAACAAAACAATTTAGTTTATCTAATACCCTGCAATGATTGTCAGATCAAATACATAGGTCATACTAGTAGCACAGGGGCAGTCAGACTAGAGGAGCATAAAAACCTAGCAAAATCTAGATTGGCTGACCTGAATAAGATAAGAAATCAAGAGAATAGTTCAGCTATCGTAAGCACTACATGCAGTTACATACAAACATACAATAGGATAGATGGGATAAGACAACAGTTTTAAAATCTAATGTCACGGGGTGGAGGGAGACATTGATAACAGAAGCTTTGTTTATCGAATCAATTGCAAATACGTCCAGTAGGAATGATTCGACACCTGTCCAGCCGGATAAATTTAAAATTCTACTTCCCCTACGACAAATAGAAGACAAAGAAAACTATAAAACTCAAGTTTCAAAGTCATGTGATTACAATTGATGCAATGATTATGAACAATAAATTTTGTTCGAAACGCCATCCAGTAAATAATACTGTTTCATCACTGTGTGATACATCTAATAAACAAACTAATATGGAATTACTTACTACCACAGTGACTACGTTTTACACACATATTAAAACTGCCCAACCACTTGCAGCAATGATTAAAAACATGCCATCTACACCATCATCAATACGAAGCATTCCACATTTATCCTCACAAATATACCCAAATCCACAGGTGGTAATTAACATAAACTATAAACACTCCCTAACACGAAAGAAAGTGTATCCATCGTCAGAATAATAATAATCCTGCCTACTCCCCAGAAATACACTAAGTAACCATAAACTCCAAAAATATCCATCACAAAAACAACTGGCACTCACACGTCTGCAGTCACAGACGTTCACAGAATAATACTATCGACGCCTGATCCGTAGTCAACACGCCAAGTGATTCATTCAAATTAAGCTCGACGGAAATCACGATTCAGTCTTAACTACCGAAAACCGACACAACATCATGCAGCTTATGTAAAATCAGTATTTTTAACACTGATTGTGACTGCGCACCTCCCAGTTGACAAAAAGCCGTGTTCCCTGTGCACTATCTACAACCACCGGTTTGATTTGAACAAAGATGAATGGCGTTTAGGCATTTGGTTGTTAGCATGTATTGTGAATGACTCTCCAATGCAGATTTCGAGATAATGACGATGCTACTGACTGGTTTGATGAGTTTAAGATGTTTGGGCTGAGACTGTGCATCTAGGAGACAATCGTATGACATTTATTATCAAAGCGAAAAGCAAACTTGACGCTGTCCAACCAACCGTAGGTGGTGGTCAGTTTGGCCATATCCGATTGTGAAGCTGGTGTGATACTCTCCGTCTAACTGGTTAGTTTGGAGCCAGTAAATGGAGACTAAGCCTCCGAGTCATTCGACCGCCAAGCCAGATTGAAGAAGGTGATCGAAAGCGTCACCATTAATACGATGATATGGCGTCTCTCGTCTTCTCTTACACCTGAATTATTATATTGTAGGAATCGCCAATATGGTTTTCTACCTGGAAATATTTTGTGAATATGTGTCGATTCAACCAACAATGGAATTATGCGTCGGTGGCATAGTGGTTAGGACGCCCGCCAACCATGCACATGCTCCGGGGTTCGATCCCCGGCCGACTCACTCCTTTACCCCGCTAAACCAGAAATATTGCTGGTAAGGAGGATAGGTTGGGCATGAGGCTAGAAACCCCATCCTGTAAAATCAACACTGCTACAGAAACTTTAAGCGACTAGCTTGAAGCCCAATGTTCCACTGGGGAGAGTGAAGGAAAGATAAATCCTAATCAGACTAGAGAAACTTCGCAAAGATCTGTGAAATTAAGGTCAAAACACCCGAAAGATGTGGTGGAAAACATACAAAATAGTTTCCTGAGACGCAAACATTCATCTGAAAGAATTCTGTGTCGTTCTGGAAAGGGAAACACCCAGGTAAATAACTACATACTTTCGTGTCCAGAAGTTGTGCGGACGTGCATGAAGTCCAAAGACTTCATGAACACTGATCTTTTCCTAAAACTGACAAGTCAGGTCAATTAGCGACACTTCAATCAATCTATGCATTCATTGTTGGACAAGTAAATACTATATAAGCATTAGGATTTCCACCTCACTCACTAACTCACTCACACAAACAATCAAACATCGACAAGAACAATGAAGGTAAGACTGCCGTTTCTAACTTCATATTTACATTCTTTCCTATCTTGCTTCCTCCCTTCACTGACAGAATTTCACCCTCCTCATCTTCACCACAGTTCTCATCGCTCTCATCTGCACACCAGGTAAGTGTGTTCACTGGTTGTTGGCCGATGCACTGTGATGTGCAGTGACATTCGAAACTGTGTAGAACTCTCTTCTGGTTCTGTCGTAATCTCCACGTGTTCTCTGATCATTTAGGTGCTGACGGTATGCTGGCTATGCTCCCAGTGACAATCAGAGCTGTACTGGCACCGGTGCTCAAGTTGGGATGCAAATTCGTTCCTAAATTCCTGTTTCCGACTGACGAGGAGGTGGCCAGCTTCTAGTGTATACAAGCACACATTACCAGCTGATATGAATAGAATTGTTATAACCCTTTAATCCTCGTTGAATTTAATAAATTCAGTGTGTATTTATTCTTGTGTTGCTTTTACTGTTTTGTTATGTTTAGATTGATGTGGTGAGTGATGATTCTGCTCCTATTTTGCGAATTCTGTTTCAGAACCTTATTTCGATATTCCTACATCTTGGTTTAGTGCATTAAACCTATAATTTTCAATGATATAAGAATAAAACTTGTGCACTGTGGTAGAGTGTAATTCCATTATGGGTAAATTTTGTTTTGATAAAGTCTCACAGTGTTATACAGTAATGTTTACTGATGACGTTTCGAGCACAATTTATTGCTCATAATCATATCAAGGTAATCACACGACTTCCTAAATTCATTTATATAGTTTCATTGTTTTTCTATTGATTTTCACTTGATTTGATTGGTAATAGTATTTTCCATATTTCAGGCATGAGTGACGAGTCATTCCTATTGCATGTATTGGGTGTAGACTCGATGAACAAGGATTCAGTAATCAACCTCATAGTATTTTCCATATTTCAGGTATCTATCAGGTATCTATCAGGCTAATTTGTGCTCACATTGTGACAGCAATATCTTGATTAAGTTCATAAAATGAATAACATATTAGTTCAACACCAAACTAGGCATTTGAATTACAGTGTTGAGCTAATATACCAGTCAATATGGCCTTAAAATCAGTTAAAAAAGAACTAACTGCGAATCCTGAACTCAATCATAAGACAAAGCTTCCCAGTGAAGAAACTATTTTAGCGATTCAGTTATGCCTCACATCTACTATCTTTAAGTTCCAAGGCAAAATATATAGACAAACAGAAGGTGTAGCAATGGGATCACCAATATCCCCTATCGTAGCAGACATATTTATGGACAGCTGGGAAAATAGTGCCCTCAATACATTTAACCGTACTCCGAAAATATGGTGGAGATATGTGGATGACACTTTCACAGTGTTAAAAACAGAACACATCTCTAGCTTCTTGACACATATAAACTCACAAGTTGAAGGAATAAAATTCACATTTGAATCAGAAAATGAACAAGGAGAATTAGCTATGTTAGATTGTAAGATAAAAAGAATAGAAGAAGGCAAACTACACACTAGTGTTTATAGAAAACCAACGCATTCTAATAGATATTTAGACTTTAATTCGTCTCATCCTTTAACTGTTAAGGCAGGCTTAGTTAAATGTTTAACAAACCGAGCAGTGGCACTAAGTAGCACAAAAAAAGATCTAAATGATGAATTAAAACAGATAGAAGAAGCGTTGGTGTTGAATAACTATCCTATAAAATTCACTAGGAAGATCATTAAAGGCCAAAAACAAAATAAAAATAATTGTGAAACTAGTCATAATAACATAAATAAGAAAGAATATAAGTCATCCACAGTTATACCATATAAATAGGGGACATCTGAGACACTACGTAGGATTCTGAATAAAATAGGAATTAGAGTGGCATTTAAACCTACAAACTCACTCAGGGACAAGCTCTGTAGGTTAAAGGACCCAGTTGACCCAATTAGACAAAATAATATTATTTACAAAATACCATGCAATGACTGTGAGGTCAACTACATAGGTCAAACTAGTAGGTCAGGGGTAGTCAGATTGTCAGAGAATAAGAGTTTAGCTAAGGTAAGAATGGTTGACCCCGAGAAGATAAGTAATTTAGAAAACAGCTCAGCAATTGCAATGCATTAACACACAACCACACAATAGGGTGGGAGAGGGTTAAAATTCTAAAAAGTAATCTAGGTAGGTGGAGAGAGAGGTTGATTACTGAATCCTTGTTCATCGAGTCTACACCCAATACATGCAATAGGAATGACTCGTCACTCATACCTGAAATATGGAAAATACTATTACCAATCAAATCAAGTGAAAATCAAGAGAAAAACAATGAAACTATATAAATGAATTTAGGAAGTCGTGTGATTACCTTGATATGATTATGAGCAATAAATTGTGCTCGAAACGTCATCAGTAAACATTACTGTATAACACTGTGAGACTTTATCAAAACAAAATTTACCCATAATGGAATTTTCAGTGAGTTTATATTTGCTAAAAATGGATGTGCTCAATCTGAATATATGACTTAGAGCATATCAACAGAATTTCGGAGCATCTGCCTTATTTATAGCGTAGACATCTCGCAGAACAAAGTGAATCTCAATGTTTCTATTCACTTTGAACCTAACTTGATGAGCAAAGAAATACAAGTAGGTTAGTTTGAATAAATTAAGTGTTAAACTGGGACACTGTGTTAGACTGTAACACCATATTAAACAAGTTTATGTGAAATAAGACGCAGAGATGCAGTATTACCAACTGGATGAGATTTGATGACTCTAGGTTATGGTGGAGATAAGTGATAGTAGGACCCAGAATAAAATATTATATCATCCTTTCTCACGAATCGTGTGACTTATTTTATGATGGAGTTACTTTTATGATCTATAATTTTTCACGCATATTGTGATTTAGTGTGTGAGATGAATTCATCATCTTTTGTCTCACCTTGGCCTTTGTCGGATAGCCACCCAATGAGAATAGACATTTCCAGTGAGCCGTTTATTTTATGATAATGTATAAATACTGTGTTGTTTCTTAAACTATATGGTAGTAGAGTATAATACAATATCTCACATTCACAGGTCAGCCTGTGTCAGCCTGTCTCCTGAGTGAATCGGAAGGTAATAACGCGAAAACAGACGTATTGGTGTATCAGTTGATTTCATTACCGTTATATTAATTAGCAGGCGCAGACACAACAATGTAGCGACGGTGTATTCAGATCAGTTTAGTGATAACAAATTGGCGACGGAGTTTATTCCATTCACCTCCCTTATAACAATAAGTGGATGACACATTCACCGTGTGGAAATCTGAGTGTACCCTCAGTTTTTACCACATTTAATCTCAAATGACATCATAATCCATTTCATATATGAGTTAGAAAAAACGCATGGTGCGTTGGTCATACTAGTGATATGTATCCACATGATGTGTGTGTTTTGTTGTTGACAGTCTGTTATATTTCTCTATGTGTATATGGATCGATATTCCATTATAACTAACAATATGCTTCTGTCTGTCCACTAACTAAATAAACATGTATAACCTTGTTGTCATATGACATTACAACCAATCATGTTAAGACTGTCTATTGGATCATGTGTACTAGCCATTTTCATATATACTTTGCATTGTACACTTTATATATATTTCTTGTTCTCACATTTCGTACATTTAAGCACCCTTCCACTCACAAACTTGTGTGACATTTATTTTCCTTGTCTGGAAAATACAAGTATCATCGTAAACCTAGTGGTCTTTTGATTTCCCTCTCTCCGCGTCAGGACTATTAACTACTCGACGAGAACATAACAACTAGAATGCAAAGTAAAGCAAAAATAAAGTGGTTAGTTTGATACAAACACTTATGGGAACCCACTTACTTAGATTTTAATTCATCGCATCCTGAATCGGCGAAGATAGGTTTAGTTAAAAGTTGCTATAACCGGGCTAGGATCCTAACTGGTAAGCCAGAAGACTCAACTTATTGCATAAAGCAAACGGAGGAAATATTACTAGTGAATAACTAGCCATCTGAGTTTATTCAGATATGCGTAAAGACAGATGGTAAAAATGGTATATTTTTTTTTCCTTCACGTTCCTCAGTGGAATATAGGGCTTCAAGCTAATGGCTTGTAGTTTCTGTAGCAGTGTTTATCTTACAGGATGTGGTTGCTAGCCTCATGCCCAACCTTTCCTCCTTACCAGCAATATTTCTGGCTTAGCGAGGTAAAGGAGTGAGTCGGCCAGGGATCGAACCCCGGAGCTTGTGCATGGTTGGCGAGCGTCCTAATGGATATACCACCGACGCACCGAAAATGGAAATTAGTAGAGAAAATGAGGAAAATAACATAAATAATATGGAATTCAAAACATCTATGATACTGCCGTACAAAGAAGGAGAATCTGAGGCCTTACATAGGATTTTTATTAGGACCGGAATTAAGGTGGCATTTTAACCAAGCATCTCTTTTTTGAGGAAAGACTGTGTCGGTTTAATGATCCGATATATCCAGTTAGGAAAAATTGTGTGATTTAGCAGATACTATTTGATGACTGTGAGTGAGATCAATTACACAAGTCGAAACAGTAAGTGATGGGTATCAGTCAGATTGCTGGAACACATCAGTTTAGTTAAACCTGGAATAATTTACCCTGCTAAGTTAAATAACCTGGAAAAACGTCCGGCCACTGCATTGCATCCGCTTGCATATATTCGCACAATAGTGTGTAACAGTTCGAAAGTATTAGAAATTAATTTAGTTGAGTGGAGAGAAGGAGGTCAATCACTGAATCGTTGTCCACCGATTCAACACTGCATACGTGATTATGAAAAATTATTTGTGCTCAAAAAGTCATCTGGTTGTTGGTACTGCTTCAGTGTTCCCTGTTGCAATCCTCCTTATCTGATACGGAAATTTAAAGGATTTCACTTCCCTCACTTATCTAGGCAGCATCGTCTTAACTATAGGCTGTCGGCATAGATGACAGTGTAAAAACTAGAATCGGAAAGGCAAGAGAGAAATTCATCACTCTTAAGTCGGTCTGCAAAACTTCTGCTCTCAGCATGAAGTATGGCATCCCCATTTTAAACACACAAGCCAAATTGGTTCTTCTACGTTTGTTATATACATGTCACGTCAAACGAAGCATTTTCAAGAGACCGGAGAACTGCATTAATAACCTTTTTGATCCATGCTGAGGGTTAATTAGCTAGAAAGAATAACCAGTTGGAAACTGTGAAAGGGGGCCAACTAAAATTTTACAACTGAAAAAATATACCGAAGAAAATGGATATGGATTGGAGACGCTCTGAGGTGATCTCTACGTGACATCGCTCTCCGCGCCATGACTGGATTGGGACCCCATCAGGAATCGGCAGATCGGGCGTTGATGTTTGGATGACATGAATGAGATGGTGTGGGATGCCAATGGAAGATTTTGGCCATCGGGGAAGCTAGCTGAACATGACTGGAGAAAAAAGGACGAAATAGAGAGGTGCTGTTGAAGTTCTATGATCTAATCGGAATCCAAGAAAATAGTAATGATATATCCTTGTATACAATTGGTGGATGGTGGCTAGCAGTGGAATCCAGGATGCGCATTACGTCCTAATTGGGACTCGTCAGCTGGATGTACCTGCATTTCTCAGTGA